GTGATTTCTTGGACTTGCACCAACGGTCCACCACACCGACACGGATTTTGGTATCTCATCTCCGATTCCGCGTACACCAATACACTTTTTTGGACTTTCACCATCGGAAGTGTATAAACCAGTAATCGGGTCATGCACTTGAAGGAGAGTCTACCCCTTCTTGCTATATCTAGCATAAGTTTTCCATGCAACCTGTGTAACTTAGTCAAACCAACCTTCTCGAGTCCACGCCTCAACTATCAAGAATGGTATTTGATCCAAAAGCATGCACACACCCATGTCACAAGCCCACAAATGTGATATTTTTCGTGTATATGCAATGTAATGTACAATTTCATTTTATATCATTATACAACCAAATTTTCAATTACAATTACAACATCATGTTCAATATGTCATGATCACAATATGAACAATTTCAATTCCTTAATGTAATTTATATCATAAATCATATAATTACATTCCAACATCATCACATTCCCAAATAGTCAATTATATCAAAGGCATATAATTACAATCCATATTCTCACCAAGCATGTTACAGTATTTTCAACGAAACAAACATGCTACATTAACATAGGCATTTTATCAAACACTCAAAAGCCACACAATCATGTAATACATAATCATGCTCAATTTATCACATTTCTCATGAATTTACCAAACAAGCAAATTTCACAAACCCCAATTTATGCAAAATTGGTTTAACACATTTCTATACCATTTTCCATACTCTAGTTACATAAGAAATATATTTAGACAAGATATTTTATCCCAAGTCATGTTACCCATTTCATATGAAAATCCTATATTGAAAATAAACCTAGCTAGGAGAAGAACCCTACCTCTTGAAGAGTAATACACATAGTAGGAACTCCAAGAAACCGAAATCAAGCTTTAACTCTTGATTTTCAAAAATTTCATCTTTGAGACTTCGATAAAATCCCCAATTTTGGATACGTAGACGTAGCTCTCGTTGTATAGATCAACTTTAATTCTTGGTCTGAAGCATTTCGACGAACGGTTAGACCTAGATCATAAAGAGAAGCTTGAAGAATTCTTGATTTTCTCCCTCTTCTCTTTCGGAAAAACCCAGTACCCACAATGGGGGGAAAATCTGATTTTCCCCTTTTATACCCCAAGGATACTTAGCTCACAACGTGCCACATATTCCATCTTTTTTTGATCTGATTTCATCCCGAATCAATTTAATCTCTTTCCATTTTGAATTCAATATATTTTATTTGAAATAAATTTAAATTATTTTTCATAATTTTGCAATTAAAATCTGATCGCATTTATTCTAGTCACGTGACACTCGATCGCATCGTAAAACAAAAAAAAATTGACTTTCTTGGAATTTAACGAAAATTGACTGGATAACTAGATTTCACGAGACAAATCCAACGATAAGGTCCGTTTTACCATCCGAGTTATAGAAGAATTTATATTTTTAACCCGTACCATTACAACTAATTACCGTTTTGCCCTTTTTTATATAAATTTAAATTTTTTCGAGTTTTATATTCTTCCCCCCTTAAAAAAAATTTCGTCCCTAAAATTTACACAAACATGAATACTTGATCGTTTTCCCTAATCTCCAACCCTTGAACCCTAATTATGTATATATGACTTTATAAAGATCGGTGAGTGTCACTCTCCCTCGAGTTCGATGCGAGAAATGAGAAAAATTATGTGTGGATGAACAAAAATATGTGTGAAAAAGTGCTCCCCAAGCGTAGAGACATTTCCAATGCCGTGTTTTACTTGGAATGGGTATTTCAAGGTCGTCTCTTCATGGAAGGAAAAGTCAAATGCTTTTGAAGGGTGATTGTAAAGAAATAAAAATTTAAAAATCTTCTTATTAGTGTTTTGGTGAGTTAAATTTTGAGAAATATGCAAGAAAACAAGGTTGGTTAATCCATATAGGTCATTCTAATGAGAATACCAAATTGACTCATTTCATTCAACAAATGGTGTCTCAATGTTTGATTGATTCGTAGGAAGTGATTGACTAATGTTGTTGTGTTGGACAAAAATATTCTCATGACAAATCTACGGTGTATCAAGAGCCCACAACCACGTCCACACTTAACCTAGTCAAACCAAAAACTTTATACTACGAGAAAAAAATAAAAGAGACTCGATTTCGCATACTCAAGAAAAAATTCCTCTTGGATTAGCCAACTAATAGTTTAGCTAGTCATAATAAAGGCAAGAACAAACATGCTGTAAAGAAACATGGTAGTGAAATCAACTATGAAACTTGTATTAATGTAAGAAAAGGCTTACACTACAAGAGCAAAATCATTCATACCCAAAATGCAAAGCTTCCCACTTCCATAGTAATGGCACACCTTAGTTCCTCTCGAATGCTTCCTTACTCCCAAGTCCTTGACCCTCGTAGTTGGAAGTGATATCTATAGATATGTATATCCATGTGACAAACTGTATGGGCAATAGAGGAAACTCTAATTTCTCAACTGTTACTTTTTTTGTATAAAATTATCATACCCAAACGGATTCGTTTCTTTCCCATTGTTCACTTTGATAGTGATGATGACAAGGAGAAGGAGGAGGAGGAAAAAGATGGTTATGATAATGATGATGAGGAGGGGAAGGAGGAGGACTCGAACGAGGAAGATGAATCATGTGATGTTATTGACAATGATGATACTGGCCTAAGATTCCCATGATAACTAGAATGATGATGTTGGTTCTAACAATCATGATTATGGTGTTGGTAATGATGATTCCTTTTGATGACATTGATGATTTTAACGATGCCAATGTCGACTATGACTATGAGTATGATGGATGGTATTGTGATGACAATGATATTATAAGGGGATGATGATAATTTTTTTTGTCCATGATGATGATGATGATGCTAATCATGAAAGTTGTGCTGATGACTTTACACTTTGTGTTTCCAATTGAGAACCAAGGCAAGGGGCTTGTTACACCACATGGTTTCACCGCAGGACCTTATGCTGCAATTGTTTTCACTGCAAAGGCAGGGGACAAGTGTAAGACCCTGTATTAAAATTAAATAAAAATAATATTATCTTAATAATTCCTCTAATATTAAGAAGATGATGGTAGAAACCTTGAATCATTGTTAAAGAGTGATCATGAAATTTGAGTTTCGAACGAATTGACTTTAGAGTCAAACTTAGTTTCGAAGATGTGTTAGCTTAAGAAGGGTGATTAGATAAGTTTTTAAATGCTTTTAGGTCAAAATAATGCCTCCATTGAATTCGGAAGGTCAAAAAACATTGAGAGAGATAAAATGGGGTGTGTTAGAAGTTAGGAAGTATTTTGAAGTTGAAACCTATTTTGGAGAGAATTTGGATAGAAAGGAATTTGATACTACCTTAGTATTTTGGCCATAACTTTCTACTCCCTAACTTTGATTGATCTGATATTTGGAAAGTAGAAACTAGACTCCAAGAGCTACAAAAGTGTATTTCACAGAAATTTTTCAAATCAACCTCTAAATAAACTCTGTAACAAAAGTGTACTTAATTGTCCCTGTTTTATTTCAAAATTCATATATGTTATTTGTAAAAAGGGACCGATTATTTTTATATGTTTTTTTAAACCTTGTTCGAGTCCGGGAGAAATGCTGTTATAGAGCTTAGTGCTCACCCCCTACAAATAATATTTTTGAGATTATGTCCTAGAGGAGGAGTTGGGAGTGGATGAACCGGCACACTGAGAGACTCCTATAGAAGGGAACGTGGATTCCGAGGTGGACGCTTAGAGCAAAATTATCTTTGTTCTAGACTAGAAAATTCATTTTTGAAATATTTTGAAGTCTAGTCTTCTTTTGTAATTTCGCTGTATTATGGTAGTTAAATTTTTGGGATGTAAATGTCATGGTTCGACATATCAATTTGGGTAATGTTGTAAATATTTTTATGGAGGATGAATGAAGTCCCATTTATTTATGGATTATATTAGTGCTCTTATGATATGAATAATTTTAAATTGTAATGTCGTCCAAGGTAGTTTTTGGGGTGTTACAATAAGTTCGGATCAGAATGAAGAGAATTCCTCCTCTGGACGGGACCTGCTAGAATTTATTTTAACATTTGATGCCAACAGTGATGGTTCATCAAATGAAGGCAGAGATAACTCCAATGGTGAAGACTGTTTTGAATGACGTCAGGGCACACTTTGCTTAAAAAGCTTTGGTAACTGTACAAAACAAGTGATTAAGCTCTTTCAAGTGGCTTTGGTTACTCTCGATATTTTTTCCGATTTTGTTTTCCTATGAATGATTTTCAGTATTCAATAAACCTATCGTATGCTTATGGTTATTTTCTTTGTAATAGTTCTTGTTGTAATATATCAAGCTTGTTGCAGAAGTTAGCCAAATAGAGTGAAACATACCTTTTCAATGTTTGTAGTCAGAGTAGCTCTATCTATAGCTTTTGGTATAGAAAGGAGGCTGACTATAAATGGGTAGAAAACGTCAATTGTAATGGCGTTTTTAAAATTGTCATTACAAATGACATTTTTTACTTATTATTTTTTTAACGCCGGTTAGTTGTCGTTTGAAAATTCATTTTCAAAGCGTCATTGAAAATAATGCCTTTAAAAATGTCATTTTGAATGACGTTTTCAATAAAAAATTTTTAATTTAAAATCATCATTTCAAATAACGTTTTAATTTATAAAAGTATCATTTGAAATGACGTTTTTGAAAAAAGATTGAGTTTGAAAAATAAATTTAAAATTAATTGGGTTTGAGAATAAAATTTTAACGGAGGCTGAGTGCAAGAAAAAACTCTAAATATATATATATATATAGATCACATCTCCTGATATGGGCAAAGATTACGGAGGAGATAAAAAAAAGTCAAGTTGGCCGGTCCCATTCCAGACCGCCCGGTCTATTCCGGTTCTCAAAACACGGTCCATTTTCATCTCCCTCAGGATTCCAGATCCACATCGACGTTAGAGAGAGAGAGAGAGAGAGAGAGAGAGAGAGAGAGAGTAAAACGCAGTAATTTCTCTCATCGTGCACACAGCCCCCACCAACACCCAACTTGTATCTTCTTTTTTTGTAGATCTATATCACATTTACCTGAATTTTCATCAAGGCCCACTTCTCCAATCCCAGTGTTTCACCAAACTCAGCTCAAGAAAGAACCAGTTCAAATCAAGATCCTCCTCAATTCATGGTATTTTGATCGTGAAGAAACATGGACTCACAACCTTCCCAATCGGGAAGGTTCATGGTCGACCTTGGCAACAACAGAAGCCCCCTTGCAAGACCCAACTCGTCCTCCTTGACCAAATCATTTTCCGACGCGAGTAGCCAAAGCTTATCCTCAATCCTCAACAATCCACATAAATCCGACGCCTCCTGGGTGGGCTGGTGGTCTTCCTTCTCCTCCTCCACCTCCGCCGCCGCGCCACCGGAATTCGCCCCACTGGGCACCAACAAACCGGGCTCGGAAATCACCCGATCTGATCTCCAACCTTACCTCTCTTCAATCTCCCAACAATACAACCGATTCGAGGATATTCGAAACCATAGTACTAAAGAGAGTCGTGATTTGGAGTCCATTGGAGGCCAGGGCGAAGCCCTAGTGGCTTGTTTACGAGAAGTCCCTGCATTATACTTCAAGGAGGATTTTGAACTTGAAGATGGCGCCACATTTCGCGCCGCGTGCCCGTTCTCGACGGTGGCGGAGAATTTGGTGTTGCAGGAGAAGTTGTCCCAGTACTTGGATGTGGTGGAGTTGCATTTGGTGAAGGAGATATCATTGAGGTCAAGTTCTTTTTTCGAGGCACAAGGTCAACTTGAGGATTTGAATGGGAAGATTGTGGAGGGGTGTAATAGGATTAGGGAATTAAAAGAGACTATAAGGCTTTTGGATTCGGACTTGGTGGATTCCGCGAGGCAAATTCAGGAGTTAAATGTGGAGAGGAGTAATTATATTGGTTTGCAGCATAAGTTGAGGCTTATTTTTTATGTGAACCAAGCGCTGTCGGCTCTCAAATTGGTAGATTCTCTTTTTCTTATAGTAGTTGTAGCTTGTAGAATTTGTTATCTTTATATGTAATGCACGCATGGAACTTTAGTTCTAGTGGAAGCCTTTGGTCATCACCCAGTTTGATCCTCTTCAATTGAGTGTTTTATGACGTGTGGACTCCATTCGAACCAAACCTGGCAATATTTATTGGCACGAAGTGATGCCACAAAGTCGCAGTCCTTGATAAAATGACCAACGTTATGGCCCGACACTTTTATCCTGACCCTTTAATCTGGCAATGCCTAACAATAGACAATCATCTGTGGATAGAATAATTGTATTTAAACGGCAGAGGTGTAAATCCATGGCATACAATTTGATTCGCTTGAGGTTGTAAAAAAGTCAATTGTAATCATAGGGGAAATGTCTGATCAAAAAGAATCATAGGGGAAATGGACATATTTTGTTTTATGAAGTTCACTAAAAATTAGAAATACTTTAGCATTTGATGTTGAGGCTTGATTGTTGCAATTTGCTGGTATTTGGTAGAAAATTAATATCATACATAAGTAAAAAAAGCCTCTGGTGGATAGAAAATTGTGTTTACACTTCTGGTGTGTAAAACAATTGAATAAAACATAAAGTTGCACGAGTTTTTAAACTGCACACTTCAATAATGGGGAAATCGGAATATAAGATTATGAAATTGATGAAAGAATAAAAAATATTTAAGGTATTTTTAACTGAGAGAGATACTGTGTTGATGCATGGCAACACAGTATTATCAAATACCTTAAATAGTTAAGGTATTGTAAACCGTCTACAAATAGCTGCATACTGTGTTGATAATAACATGTCACCTATTTGTATGCAGCTGGTTGCATCTGCAGATTGTGCTGGAGCTTTAGATGTCACTGATGATTTGCAGCATTTGCTGGTATATTCATAACCTAAGGAGTTTTTGTTTATTTTACTTTCTTGTTTCATAGTCCCACAGGTTCTAGCTGACATATTATCTTAGATCAATTTCTATATGTTTCATGATAACGAAACAAAGCCCAGTCTCTTTCTTTTGCTTCATTCCTTCCTCTTCATATGAAGAAAATATCTCAAACAATTATTGTAGAGAGATTTTGTTGAGGTTAAACATAAGTTGTAGTTGCTTCTAATATTATAATAATTGAGGTTTAATATTTCTGTTTCCAAGGAGATCGCAACGAATTTTGAGGTATTTCGAAATATTTCAAGGTATTTTAAGATATTTTGTTATATTTCGAGTCTTTGACTAATGTTTCACAAATAAATTCGTTCCAACAAGTCTCAAATGAATACCAAGAGTTTTGGTTTGTACCTTACTGTAAATCTTATAATGCTATGGAGAATGCAAAACCGACAAAAATATTCATGTTGCATCAGCTGATAAAATTTATGTCAGGTCACTCTTCTTTTATAGTAGAAAGTTAGAACTAAATTAGGAGCTTTGTGGGGATTGAACTTGAAAAAACCTTTACAATCCCGCTGATACATAAGTAATTAAAAGAAAAAAAAAAGAGTGATTCAGAATCTATAGATTACATTGAGAGGCAGTAAATGCTTTTTTTACTGTTAAAGCATCTCTAAACACCAATTGACAATGAGTATGAAAACCAATTGACAATTTGAAAGTATTGTTTTACTGATGGGGGATAAGGTCTAGCATACGTGCGGTCCCAACTTGCATGGGAAGATGTAGACAGAAGGCCGAATTGTGTAGTGCACTTAATACACATACAAAGGGGGAGCCAATTACCATTACCAACTGTTGTTATTGAAATACAGGGTCCTGTTCAGACCATCTGGAAGGCCAGTGATGTGGGACAATCTCTAAGAACTACTTTCACTTGTTGGAGACTACAACAAAATTAAAATAGACAGAATACTAAACTAAGCAGAATTGAAGCTATCACTATATATGGTAAGTTGTATATAACTGAAATGCACAATTGCAGCTACTTAGATACAAGAATGAGATATATTTTGATTCTGTATCATGTTATAGGTATAGTCGTATAGGTATTATGACACCTCTGTCTCCGACATAGAATTAGGTAGTTTTTCTTCTGAAAACATAAGAGGAAAGTGATCTTAAAACAGAAAAGTGGTTGTATGAGAAAGAAGACCATTGCCTAGTGTGGTCCAACTTACGCATGTTTCTGGGAGGGATGAGATGAAGCGACTACTCGTAGAAGTGAACCCATTCTCATGCTTGATGATCCGAGTGCTTCACATTAAACTAAGCGATGGCTCCTTAAACTTTTTTATGACAAACTAACTAAATCTATTGGGCCCATAATGATGTGTTTTAGTAACTTTAGAGATCTGTTTATGCCATCTGTTTGGTTTCACATGGTGTCTGGAGTTGCAATTGACTACAATGCGTAATACAGTGGTAAACTTTTTTTTTTTCTGCTGTTTGAGCTCATGGAATGGGAGGTAACTTTGTCTTGAGCGATTATGCCTTTGGTGCATATTAATTTCGTCAACTTGTATTTTTGTTTTATGATGGCAAAGATTATTATTAGCATTTTTTATGCTCTTTTGATGCTTAGGCCATAGTCTTGCCTATTACTTGATCTAGTTTTTGGAGAATTGCTGTGTGTTAGCTTTGCCTATTACTTGATCTAGTTTTTGGAGAATTGCTGTGTTAGCTTTGCAAATACTTCATTGGCTTTTTTTGCCCTGGTAAGTAATTGCATTACTGATAAGAGTAGTTACCCTGTGGTTAAGACAAGAAAAAGAAAGAGGGGCATATTACCAATTTATTTCTTGTATTGCCAACTGTTTTATTTTTCTATTGACAGGTTGGAGATGAGCTGACTGGTCTACATTGCTTTCGTCACCTTCGGGACCATGTAGCAGCTTCAATAGATTCCATTAACAGGTTAGTTTATTCGGTAAGGTGGCTTTTTCCCCGTTGTTGAACTCTACATGAGAAAAGTTGGCTTTGGAGGTAATATCTATTAGGCTTTGAAATGGACGTCCATGGAGAACCACAACCCCCTCCTCCTCTGGGGCACTTGAGCACCTGGCCTTTCCTCTTTATTTGATACATTAAGAGTTCACAGTCAAGCTGCCCCCAAGTGCAGACTGAGAAAATATGCTGTACATTGGATCTGTAATCTCACGGTCACCTTTCTTTAATAAGCATATAAAAGAATCAGAAGAAAATGACATTTAAAATCATCCAGATCCCCTGTCCGTCCTGGACTTGATCACTTAGTCACTCCTACCTCTCCAATAGATATAAAAATGCCACCTGCTGAATTGATAAAACTTTTTGTTGTCCTCCCCCCCCCCCAAAAAAAAAAAAAAAAAAAAAAAAAAAACC